GTAGGATGGGTTCTGGCTAATGAAGATCCCTATTTATTCTGGTAAGGATCGGTTAATATTCAGGGGATGAAATGGACCAAATACTGTGGTCCAAATTTCATCCAATTTGGATCATAAATGGTACCTGTACTTTGTTCACAGTTTAACATGGACAGACGGACTGACGAACATGCATAAATCGACTCAGAAAGTGATTCTATGCATATTCTCAAAAGGAACCATGGGTCTATCTCGATTATTTTTGCATGTTACAAACATATGCACAAAGACATAATACCCTGTACCACTGTGTGGTGAAGGACATAATAGTTTTTGGTATGGAAATTTTCTATTCAGTGAAAACCCAAGATATGAAATTTCTGCCCTTTTGGTTGAAACACTAGACAAAACTCTACAAAATAAGGAAATTAGGTATATTGGCTTATATGAGGACTATCCGAAAAAGTGGACCAATTTTGATAAGTTTTATTAGTAAGTAAGTTCAACTGACTAAGACCCCAAAATACCTAATTATAGCTGATTAGTTGGAAAAATGTGCCCAAACCCTGAAAATTTCAAAACTTTACCGTGGACCGATATGCCCCATCTGCAACCCCAAACATGCTATGAGTAAAGCCCTTTCATAAATATTGCAAGGTCTATAGTGATATCTACAGACGAATGGGCGGACAGACGTTGCTAAATCGACATAGAATTTTATTCTGATCAAGAATATGTACACTTTATGGGGCCTCCGGTGAATATTTCGAGGTCTTGCAATTGGAATGGCAAAGATAATACACACTCTGCCTTATGGTGCAGGGTACAAAAATTCGAAAATCGAACATACGTAATTCAAGAAATTCGAAAACAACGGTTATATTTTGTTTCATTTCCGACTTGTGTCTTCAACCTAAGTTTCTGTAATTTTGTTGAAGGCTCTTAACCTCATTTTCAAATTTAAAGCGTAAGATTTAGAATTCATTTTCATGTTTTACCTTTATTTTCAATGGTTCGATATAAAAGTGCTCCGACGAATTATAAGTTCAACGTTATAAAAAATATGAGTTTCCGTGTAAAGTGTTTAATTAACATAATTTATTTTACACTTTATTCAACATGCTTATTAAAAGTTAAATTCTATTACGAACTATATTAAAGTGGCTGTGAAACATCCACTACATTGCAAAATACTGTTCCTGTCGGTGTTGTTGTTTTTTTTTTTCATAACATAAAACTACATCACGCTGAGCTTTTACTTTAATATTACAAAACACTAAACAGTTTTTTTCTGTTTTTCCTCCTTTTCAAAGCACCTTCCAACTCATATCCTCTTTTACTGCTTATTCTATGAATTAATCTAATTTGAAAATTGTTATTAAATTGTTCTGCCAAATGGATTCATTTGCTGACAAGGTGAATGATTTGTTGTCATGTGGTGTTTTCGAAGAAAATTCTGATACTGGACACACACAATCAACTAGCATACCAATCAAAACCGTCAGGAATTTACTCTACTATCCCAAAGGTAAACTTCGGTGAAAACTAAAGCAAAATAAAATATTATTACTACTACTCGTATTCTAAGAAAATACCATAAGTGACCCTGAGTAGTTAGTAAATAAACATGTCAAACTTTTGGGAATACTTTGTCATCATCACAGCTGCGTAAAAAAATTCTGGTTCTAATATACCAGGCTCTGATATATTGTAGCAATTTTACTACGCAGCTGCGTAAAATTGTCAAAATATTATCGTTTTCATCAAAGAGCTTATAGTTAAATATCCAAACACATCAATGTCATTTCGATGGAGGTCAATTTCCATGAGGTATATCTATGTATGTATATGCGCATAATATGGAATTTTGAAAGTACATAATTCAGGATCATAAGAATAAATGCAAGAGTATATGGACAAAGTTTACTAAAACTTTGTCGTTGGCATAAATGTGAGAAGTTATATAGTTTTCCAAGAATTTTAACATGGTGACAATGGAATATATTTTGAACTAAAATAAAATGGAGAGTAGCATATAATATTGCGTTTGTAACGTCTCCAAATACTCATTATCATTATCTCATAATTATATATCGATTTAGCAATGCTGGCAATATTAACTATTATTATTTTGAATTAGCATACTTTTTGAATAACTGTTTTGAATTGAAAGTGTGTGTATGGGTATACGTTTTAATACATTTCCTATTTTTGGTGTAATGAAGGTTTTAGCCACATTTTCCTACCGAAGTGTCTATAATTTGGAAATTCAGATTCTTGGACGGTCAAGTACAGGGTTGCCCATATTCGACGGACTCATGTTTTTTTTTTTAATCAAAGAAAAAAATAAAAATATGGCGGTTGGCACTGTTAATCATTTAATTTGTTCCAAGTAGATTTGTTTACATCAATTTTTGAATATGATATCTCTCAAATGGCCGCCTCTGGCGTTGATGACGTATTGTAGCCTTTTTGCTGCATTTTCAGTCGTTTTTGCCAACATTTCGGCCGGAATAGCGGCTATTTCTTCACGAATGTTGTCCTTTAGCTCTTCTACGGTCTTTGGCTTGTTAACGTAAACCTTTGACTTCAAATATCCCCACAAGAAGAAGTTAGGCGGCGTCAAATCGGGCGAACGCGGTGGCCAGACCAAATCACCACTTTTCGACATCAAACGGCCCGGAAACAAATTCTTCAGAAAATCGATTGTTATGCGACTTGTGTGCCGTCTTGTTGAAATCAGAACTGCCTCATACGCTTTCGACGAATAATTGGCATCACAAAATTGGTCATCATGTCGCGATAACGCTCCTGATTGATAGTAGCAGCATGGCCATTTTCATTTTGGAAGAAAAACGGGCCAATGACCGTTTTCGCACTAACGCCGCACCAAACTGTGACTTTTTCGTCATGAAGAGGCACTTCTTGAATCTCCTGAGGATTTTCAATGGCGTAAAAACGGCAATTTTGCTTATTTACGGTCCCATTCAATGTGAAATGGGCTTCATCGGACATAATTATTTTCGATGAATCTTTGGGCCCATTCCAATCGATGAGGCTTGTCCGTAGACAACATTCTTTGCGTCCATTGAATATTGTACGGGAACAAATGCAAATCAATGCGAATAATCCGTTGTAAAGTGGACCGTTGTAAAATGGAGGTCATAGTCGCGTGCAAATTAAGAACCCAGAGGAAAAAAAGTCGTCCTAGGTCCAGTTTTTAAATTATGGCGTTATATTTTTATACCCACACTGTGGTACAGGCTATTATGTCTTTGTCCATATGTTTGTAACAGGCAAAACAAGGCATTGTAAACAAAGTACAGGTTGCATTTTTTATTCGAATTCGGTGAAATTTGGCACAGCTCATTTATTTGGCCCAAGGACGAACCCTATTGAAATTGGGAAAATCGGTTTAATGTAAATGGTGTACCAAAGTCTCTATATATCCTTCGATTTGAACGAAATTTGGCATACCACACTGAATTATGTCTAGAATGATTTGTGTTAATTTTCGCGAAAATCGCTCCAGATTTAGATATAGCTCCCATATATATTTTCGTCCGATTTAATGTAAATGGTGTACCAAAGTCTCTATATATCTTTCGATTTACACGAATTTTGGCATATCGTACTAAATTAAGTCTAGAATGATGTGTGCTAAGTTTCGTGAAAATCGGTCCAGATTTAGATATAGCTCCCATATATATTTTCGTCCGATTTAATGTAAATGGTGTACCAAAGTCTTTATATATCTTTTGATTAGCACGAAATTTTGCATAGCGTAATGAATTAGGTCTAGAATGATGTGTGTTAAGTTTCCTGAAAATCGGTTTAGATCTAGATATAGATCCCATATATATTTTCGCCCGATTTAATATAAATGGTGTACTAAAGTCCCTGAAAATCATTTGATTTGCACGAATTTTGGCACAGCGTATTGAATTAAGTCTAGAATGACGTGTGCTAAGTTTCGTGAAAATCGGTTCAGATTTATATATAGATCCCATATATAGTTTCGTCCGATTTTAGGTAACTGGTGCACAAAAGTCTCTATATGTTTTTCGATTTGCACGAAATTTGGCATAGAGTACCGAATTGAGTCTAGAATGATGTGTGGTATGTTTCGTGATTTCGGTTAAGATTTCGGTATATTCAATTAACACGAAATTTTGCACAACATATCAAATTAAGACTTGAATGATGTTATTATGTTTTGTTGAAATTGTGCAGATTCAGACATAGCTTTCATATATATTTCGAGCGGTTGTCTGATTGAGATTTTTAACAGTGCGGCATATCAAATAGCGTGTATCGATTTTGCTATAAACCGTTTTCCACAAAATTCTTTCCATGGTACGCAGACGACTCTACTACTACTTTCCTTACTGGGTTTTACTTGTTTTAACTTAGTTTATGGTCAAAAATAAACGATTTTCAAAAAAAAAAATCAAAGGTCCGCCATTTTGTTAATTTTTGTGCGAAGATCATAAGCATAGTTCAGATCCAGACATGTACTCTTTATAATTCCTTTGCAATTTTCGGATTCCCATGTTCTAGTGAGGAGTTATCATGCATAAGAACTTTACTAAATATATTCCTATTTGCCTGAAATAAATTTACCCCAACACATGAGGCATTTAAACCTTTCAATTCAATTATCATTTGCCGTATGACTGAGGTATAAAAAATAATATCGTGAAATTTGAAGTAAATAAGCCTTGCTCCTTGCTTTGAAATATTTTTATATTTTTTTCCTCCCTCCGCATTGTTCCAACTCATATTTGATTTACAATTCTTAAACTTTTTCTCCATCCCCCAAAACCATTTCCACGAATTTGAAAATTTCTTAAAAATGCCCTATCTGCGTGTTTCATTTTCTTTTTCATATTAAAATCCAATTCAAATGCTCCCCGCAGCCTTAAGCTGACACACACACACAATGAAATCTTACAACCTCTATTTATGATATTCAATATCTGGGTGTATGTGTATGTATATAGGTATGTGTTTATACTTACTAAATTGCGCAACCTTTCCACCTCATACCACGACTCAATGTCATTCACATCGTAGACGAGAATAAATGCCGCTCCTGAACTTATGGACAAGGTTCGCATAGCAGGAAATTCATATGAACCCGATGTATCTAGAATGTCCAGTGTCAGTGCCGAGCCATCGGGCAAATCGTATTCGCCACGATGCAATTCTTCGACCGTTTGTTTGTAGCGGGGATTGAATTTGTCATAGAGGAATTGCGAGATGATGCAAGTTTTGCCGACCTTCGCTGCCCCCATCACGACAATGCGATGCTGTTGTTTGCGTATCAAATCGGATGAGTGTGTAGTTGTGTTGCAACGCTTATTGCCCGATGCCGACGACGAGGAGGGATAGTCGGCGCTGTTGGCACGCGTTGACTTCAGCACGGATGTCAGTGAGGGTAAACGTAAGCGTTGACATGTACCAGGCATTATGAATGAACTGAATTTCACTGCAATGGCAATTTGCAAAACAATGTTCGGTGAAATGTTGTTTTGGTTGCCACAACAAGACAAGGAGAGTGATGTGGCAAGGAGGAAGTTTGATTGAAATGATATTATTTTGAGGGGTCTCTTCTTTTGGTTGCGGGGTTGTGTTGTAGCTGTTAGATGTCCTAGTTGGCCATTGCTTTGGGTATTTTATGTTTTCTATTTCGATTTCACCATTTCCTCTTTCTCTCTGTAGGAATGAATGCTACAGGAAATTTTGTTATTTAATAAATTAAAATTATTTTATTTCTCCTTGGTTGTTGTTTTTTTATTCTTCTTCTTTGTTTTGTTTACACAAACAACACGTGGTGATAACGATCTCAGTGACGGGAGTCAGGTTTCTTTTGTTTCCAATATGGCGGTTTATCTTCTTTGCTATCTGAAAAAATAATAAAAATAATAATTGCTATTATTTCAAGCTAGAGGAAGATAGCAGCAAATATGAAAAGTAATACAATATTTTTTTGTAGAGCGGCAAGTTTCTTAGATTATCACTTGAAGGATATTTTAATTAAAAAAGTTTATGACCAAACTTTTGCGGTCTCATTTAAAGTATCCGATTGTTATCTTATTTGGCTTTTCATATTTTCCTCTTATTTTCTTTAATTTATCATATTTGCATTTTGCTGTGTTTCCATTTTTTCACTTTTCCTAAGAAGCTTAAAGGTTAAACCCAACTATACAGCTGTTGCTTCTTTAACAGTGTTTTGCTGACTTTGTCGCATTCCATGGAAGCTGGTGCTAGCTTTGTTATAAGATAATTGTTTTTAAAATTCCCTGGGCGAGAAAAATTTGTTGGTAAGGAATGGTCATAAATGCCAGTGGCATTTTTATAAGAGAAGGGCTTTTAAAATGCTTTGCGAAGAAGTATAGCAATGTATTTTAGAAAGGAATGACCAAAGGAAATTAACATTTAGGATGTTCACATCCGAGTCATTGACTACAGGAAATATGCTAATGAAAGTGTAAAAAGTAAATGAAAAAGAATTAGATGATAATCACCTTCTTAATTGCGACTGGAAGAGAAGTGGTGGAAGTAACATCTCCCAATATATAACACTCTGAAAATATACACTAAACTTCTTATTATACCCTTCACCACTCTGTGGTACAGGGTATTATGTCTTTGTGCATATGTTTATAAAAAAAAGGAAACGAGATAGACACATGGTTCCTTTTGAGAAAATGCATAGAATCACTTTCTGATTCGATTTGTGCATGTCCGTCTGTCTGTCGATGTTAAATTGTAAACAAAGTACAGGTCGCATTTATAATCCGAATTGGATGAAATTTGGCACAGGTCACTTATCTGGCCCAAGGACGAACCCTATTGAAATTTGGAAAAATCGGTTCAGATTTAGATATAGCTCCATATATATTTTCGTCCGATTTAATGTAAACGGTCCCTATAACGAATTAGGTCTAGAATGATGTGTATTAAATTTCGTGAAAATCGGTTGAGATTTAGATATAGTTCTCAAATATATTTTCGTCCGATTTTATGTAAATGGTGCACCAGGGTCCCTATATATCATTTGATTTGCACAAAAATTTGGCATTGCGTACTGAAATCGTTTTCCATAAATGTTTCCATGTTACGCACACGGCTATAAATCTGCTCGAATGAAATTAAAGTTAGGATAGGTTGGAGAAAGAGAGAACATAGACATGCAATTGTTAGGATACATATGTACAATATACCCAAAGTGGTGAAGGGTATCATATAGTCGGCCCAGTCCGACTTTACTACTTTCCTCACTGTTTTTTTTTCAAGAATGCTTATTACTTACACCCAGCCCTCATCAAGTAGTGGAGGGAGATTGAGGAAAGGGAGCCAGAAGCAGGACGTTTTTGGTGGCTTTGGTATGAATGTATTACTATGAGCTTTCAAATACATATATAACCAGTAAGGAAAGTAGTAAAGTCGGACTGGGCCGACTATATAATACCCTTCACCACTTTAGGTATATTCTACATATGTCTCCTGACAGACTCCGCCATTTCGAAAGAACATTGGCATCAATTTGAACGAACTTGAATATAAGAACTTTATGCCTTTCTTGGACCTATGCTAAATTTGATTTCATTGAACCGATTTTCACGGACGAAATATATATAAGAGCTACTTTTAAATCTGGAACGATTTTCACGAAGTTTATCGCACATCATTCTACGCTATGCCAAATATCGTGCAACTCGAAAGATATATATGGTGCACCATTTACATAAAATGGGACGAAACTATATATGGAAGCTATATCCAAATCTGAACCGATTTTCACGAAACTTTTCACACATCATTCTAGACTCAATGCAGTACACTATACCAAATTTCGTGCAAATAGAAATATATATAAGGGCATTGGTGTAGCATTTACCTAAAATCGAATGAAAATATACATGGGAGCTATATCTAAATCTGAACCGATTTCCACGAAACTTAGAACACATCATTTAAAACTCAATTCAGTGCGCTATGCCAAATTTCGTGCAAATCGAAGTATATATAGGGACTTTGATGCACCATTTACATAAAATCATTTACATCATTTGCACCATTTACATTATTTAAAACTCAATTCAGTACGATATGCCACATTTCGTGCAAATCGAAAGATATATAGGGACTTTGGTGCACCATTTACATAAAATCGGACGAAAATATATGTGGGAGCTATATATAAATCTGAATCGATTTTCAAGAAATTTTACACACATCATTCTAGACTCAATTCAGAGCGCTATGCCAAATTTCGTTCAAATCGAATGATATATAGCATTTTTGGTACACCATTTACATAAAATCGGACGAAACTATATATGGGAGCTATATCTAAATCTGAACCGATTTTCATGAAACTCAGCACACATCATTCTAGACTCCATGCAGTACACTATGCCAAATTTCGTGTAAATAGAAAGATATATAGGGACTTTGGTGTAGCATTTACATAAAATCGGAGGAAAATATATATGGGAGCTATATCTAAATCTGAACCGATTTTCACGAAACTGTGTACACATCATTCTAAACTCAATTCAGTGCGCTGTGATAAATTTCGTGCAAATCGGACGAATATATATGGGACTATATTTAAATCTACATTTAAAATAGCACACATTATATAGACTTAATTCAGTAGGCTGTTAAATTTCGTGCAAATCAAATGATATATGGGGACATTCGTGCCCATTTACATAAAATTCGGACGAAATATATATGAGCTATATCCAACTGGTTCCCAATTTCAAGAGGGTTCGTCCTTGGGCCAAATAAGTGACCTATGCCAACTTTCATTTGGATCATGAAAAGGAAACATGGACAGGCAGACGGACGGACAGACATGCATAAATCGACTAAGACAGTGATTCTATGTATATTCTCAAAAGGAACCATGTGTCTATCTCGTTTCCTTTTGCCTGTTATAAACATATGCACAAAGATATAATACCCTGTAGCACAGTGTGGTGAGACTATGCGTAGAATCACTTTCTGAGTCGATTTATGCATGTCCGTTCGTCTGTCAGATTTGGGTATAACTTCCATATATAGTTTCGCCCGATTTTATGTGAATGATGCACCATTGCACAATTGTGCACAGCGAATTGAATTCGGTACAGATTTATGTATGCGAAGTTTTGTTGAAATCGCTTCAGATTTAGATATAGCTCCCATATATAGTTTCTTCCGATTTTATGTAAATGGGGAATCAAAGACGTTTTTGCCATACAGACCCCGATTTATAGATTTCCCGTAATATTTATATATTGATTAAATTCCTTGTAAGTTAATTAATTAGGCGACAAACGTTTAACCATGTGAAAAAATGTTATAATTCGATTTCGAATATATTCAAACTTATTGAAATTCCAAAAATTCTTCTCATGTGTTGTAAACTAACCACATTTAAAATAAATGTTAAACAAAAGATATTAGATAATAGTTTGTGATGATGACGATTATATTATAAAGTAAAAGTTTTGTGGTTATGCTAATGGTTTTCAAAATGTAGGTAACCAGGTAAGCAAAGAAGTTTTTCATTGTTATTATTCAATATATTTTATTTATCTGGAAAAGAGATTTACTAAGAATTCATTATCTCAAACAAATTGTGGCAAATTCGAAATATGAAAGGAGGAAATAAAATATATGTTCGCAACACACCCACATACGTATATGATAAATTATTGTTTTAACAATATTTGTATAGCCTTCACCACACTGTGGTACAGGGTATTGTGCCTTTGTGCACAATAGGCACGTGGTTCCTTTTGAGAATATGCATAGAATCACTTTCTGAGTCGATTTATACATGTACGTTCGTCCGTCTGTAGATCTTAAATTGTAAACAAAGTACAGGTCGCATTTATGTTCCGATTTGGATGAAATTTGGCACAAGTCACTTATTTGGCCCAAGGACGAACCGTATTGAAACTGAAGAAAATCGTTTCAGATTTAGATATAGCTCCCATATATAGTTTCGTCCGATTTAAAGTAAATGGGGCACCAAACTACCTATATATCTTTCGATTTGCACAAAATTTGGCATAACGTACTAGATTAGGTCCAGAATGATGTGTGCAAAGTTTCGTGAAAATCGGTTCAGATTTAGATATAGCTGCCATATATAGTTTCGTCCGATTTAAGTTAAATGGGGCACCAAAGTACCTATATATTTTTCGATTTGCATAGTATACTGATTTGGCATAGTATACTAAATTGAGTCTAGTTTAGAGAAAATTGGGTCAGATTTAGATATAGCTCACATATATATTTTCGTCCGATTTAAGGTAAATGGGGCACCATAGCTAGGCCGATTGGCTAAACGTACTAAAATAAATATAAATTAATCTCTGTCAAGTTTCCTTGAAATAGGTTCAGATTTATTCCTATTTATTCCTATTCCGACATATTCATGTTAATTGTACACCGAATAATCAATGGGTGCCTGATTGATACTACATTGATACTACAGTGAAGCATGTAAAGTTTG